GATGATGGCAACATCTGTACAAATGTGCTTGACACAATGGATGTATGGATGGTGATAAGAGCTGTAAGAGCCCCCAATAAAATGATTTTTAAAATAGCAAAAAAAAAAAAAAGAAAGATCACCTTAAAAACAAATAATGATACTCAAGATTGTGTACCAATGAGGAAATGGGGTGGAACCCGTATCTGAACTCCTCCAGCAACATGTTGCTGCGGAAGTCAACTCAAATACATACTCAAAGATGACTCTGGTGAGGCCGGGACCTGACCTGTGTCCATTCTTCATCCTTCTTTATCCTATTCTGAAGCCAACCATGCTTCTGATGGCACTCTCTTTCTCTGCTGGGTCCCATAATCCTTTGCAATGTCCACACAAAAGTCACAGATGATATGATTACGAGGATTATTAGGGAGATTAACAGGTCACGCAAGTCACCCAAGAAGGTCTTTCTTTGAACCTTAGCCTCTCACTCTACAGCTCCGTGGTATGCGCTAGGAAGTGTCATAATGCTCCTTGGGCATTGACATATGCTCAAAGAGTATCTCACACCAGCATGAAGACACACAGCTTTCTTCATTCTGTGGGCTCAGAGGCCTAACCCTCTGGGTCATGGTTTCTGTGCTGTGGTCTCTGGTGCCTCTGCAGGCGCCACCACTCCACCAGTCTCGGACACACTCCCAGTCTCTCTTCTTTCTGCTGGTCACGTGGTTCTCTCTTCTTCTTCTGAAATGGCTCACCAGCTAAGACCAGGAGAATGGCAAAACTGACCAATCCTTGAGTGAGAGTCCTCTTTGCCTAATTTGCATGTCCCCATCTAGTCCCTGGTTAGGAGTTTCAAAGACTATGGACAGGAGACCCATGTTGAGTGATTTCATTTCATCACAATTTGGCGGAGCCAGAATTTGCAGTGGTTTGGCAAATTCATCCATCGTCCCCATGATGAAAGCAAGTCTCATGTAAATATCTTGACATTTTATGATATTGTATGACATTTTATGAATTATATGATATTGATCTTCTTTTTGCTGGTAATCTTATTTCATAAGACAGTCTCAGGCTTTCTCATTTTTAGTTTTACTTCCCATGGTAGAAAATGTGTATCTTAGGCTAGTTTCTCTAGAGAAACAAAACAAATGAAGCTTATATGTGTATCTCTAGACAGTGGTTAACATCAAGGACATGACTTGAAAACTTGTAGAATCTATCCAGTTCCAAGACCATAGATCTTAGTTACTAGGCTTCTTGCTGCCGCTGCAAATGAATCCAAGCTTGATGGGTAAAATGGCAGGCTGTTGACAACTCCCCAAGATCAACGGGCAATCTGGTAGGCTGCTGGCTCAAGTCCACACAAGGAGAAGTGAAAATGACAAGTCAGAGCCAGCAAAGAGTGAGCGACCTTGGTCAGAGCATCTTCATATATTGGAATAAGCCACATCCCTGAAGAAACTCTGTTTGCATTGTTAACAGATCTCATCAGGAGATTTACAAATTTGAAAGCAGTGAGGAGTCAGCGCTGTTATTATCACACAGCCCTCTCGCCTGCAGCAGTAGTGATGCTCCGAACAAGACACCTCACAGCACAGTATGGTCTCATCACAGTGTCTATGGGCCTCCGTCCCAACGGCCAATTTCAAGTAATTTCTAAGTTAAGCAAAACTGCAGTGCATCAAACATACATATTTAAATGTCTATTTTGATTTTGATGGTAGCAGAAATTAAGAAGAGATGAAATATTTTTAAAAATAATAATTTTGAAATATGAACCTAGAGGAAAACTGCTGAAATAATAAGCTACCTTGATGACTATATATCTCATGATTAGATGTAAGAAAAAGCGTTAGTAGAAAACATAAGGAAATGTTCATAAAAAGAGATGCCATTGGTTATATATTAATATTCGTGTAGGTTTTAAATTTTGGGAGAGAGACTAAGTTGCTTTTCAGTTTCACACTATTCCCCCTGAGATTATTTCTCTTGCTAGAAGAGGCTGTGGGATCAATGTGCCTTTCCCTCAAAAAGCTTTTCAACAACCAAATGAAAAATCTGTGACAAAGCTTGCACAGGATAAACTCAACGTTACAAAAGTTAGAAAACGTATCACGTGATTGTGGCTGCGCCATAGAGATTTACCCAACAGCTTCTAGCTTATGTTGCTTTTCAACACTTAATAACTTTTTTGACACTAATCACAAATTAAAGAACTCTCTGTTATCTAAATCTAAAAAGATCATAATTGAGCTATTAAAAATTGTATCAAATTTGAGCTGTAGTAGATCAGCTAAATGAGTAGGTATGACTTTAATTTTAGGTCAGTACTTTGATGGGTAGCCCGGTAATATTGTAAAGGCTAAACAGATGTTCAAGAAACAACCTATTTTATAGGTAGTTATATTTTCTAAGATCCCCACTAAAGAAGTCCTCTTCTGAGGATTTAGTTTTGTTTTTAATTTTCAATCTTAAGTCATTAAATGTTCAAGATACATAACCTCTGCAGGTGCTTCAACAAATTTCACAACAGATAAGAAGGTCTCTTTAAACGGAAAATTAAAGTAACAGCAACCAGTAATAAAATGAACACTGAATGAAAGAAAAATCTTCTCAAATAACTTAGATTATTTAACTTTTAATGGTGTTAAAAAATAAGTAAAATGCTTCCTAGTATTCATACATGGCTGATAAGGCACCAGGATGTTGGCTAACAAATGCCTTTTTCATTCATTTTCTGTGTTCCATGGCTTCGCCATATACTCTTGTATTTACTACTGATCTCAAGCATGGAAGGACGACAACAGGGCTACAAGCTTCAGGGATATCTTTTCTTGTTCTACAGGTGGGTGTCAAGCTAGTGAGCCAGTGGGGATATCTATCTCAACCACGGCTTTCTTCAGCAGAAGATTTTACAACCTCAACATTATTCCAATTTAACTTTTCTGAGTTACAAAATATAGCCACTACAATGGCTAAAACTTAACTATTGAGGAAGACAATTTCCTAGGGATAGAAAGGTATTCAGCATTTGCTGGACCTGCAAAGGTCTGTCTCAATATTACTTTCCCTGGCATCAACTAGAGATTTTTGGCCACAGCACGAAAAATGAAATTACCACGCAAGAAAATTACTATAGAGTCATAAAAATACTGGAAAGATAATAGAGAAGCGATCACACTTCATGGAAACCATCAAAGGTCTGATATAGTCAAGGTGGTGATTTCCTAGTTGACTGCAATTTTTAGCATAGTGTGACAGGACTATGTAACAAATAATGGACGTTGTTTGCTAAATTTGCATGTCTTTAGCTAGATGCTGTTGAAAAGCAGAATGGTCTGTTGTCCAGTCTTACCTGCACATTTAGTTCTTGTAATCAGTGGAGGACCTGGAAGCCCAGTTCCACCTTCTCCAGGTCTTGTAAGTAGAACACGGATCTCGTATTCAGTATCAGGATCCAAATGCCACAGTTTATAAGTTGGTGCATTGACTGCGTGGGTCTCTGTCCAGGATCCTGATGTCATTCGGTACTCTACTTCTTTGAGGATAATGGGGCCATCACCAATGATGGAGTTGGCATTTAGCTGAATCAGCAGATAAGTAGGCCCAACACCAAGCAGCTGAGGAGGAGCAATGGGTCTTGGTGGTTCTAGGGAAGATGAACATGTAATCTAATTATTCAAAAACCACAACACTATAGTACATAAATGCAAAACTCACTGCCATCAAGTTCATGCTGTTTCATAGCAATCCCACAGGCTAGAGAAGAACTTCCCCATCATGCTCCCAAGGCTGTAAATCAAGACAGAAGCATACTGCCCTATTCTTCTCCCATGGAGAGCCTACTGGGTTCAAATCACTGAACTTTTAGTTAGCAGCTCTGCACTTCAATCACTGCACCAGCACCAATCCTATTCAAATACCTGGCTACATGAATGTCTCTTAAAGCTTCAGGGCTCAATGAATGACTTATTGCGTAGTACATGATACATATTTAAAAGAAAATAGGAGCTAGACGTGACCTGGCTGATAACCATACCCTAAGGAGTAAATACTTTTGCTGATGGCATAAACCGTTTTCCTTTAGTAAAAATACGGTTTTCCAGGAGACAAATTTCTAAAGACAGAGGATACATCGGACATAAAGAAAAAATTATTTCTTTGAAAAGAGCTTTCAACTAAATTCCAGTGTTTGAACATAGAGAAATGGTGAATTAGAGCATTTTTTAGACCCCTTAACAATACATCTGATACTAGGCACTGATATAAATAAAGGGCTCCATAACTCTAGCTATATTTAAATGTTTTGTCCACGGGGAATGCTATATCCAGGAAAAGATCTCCCAAGTCCATTGTGAGCAGGTCAGGACTTCTCTGAATCTCTGGAACAACACTTATCAGATGAGCCGGGGACTTTAAAGAAAAGACAGCTTGCAATGAATTTTAATGAAGCAATAGTTGTTCAAAAATAGATTTAAGAATTATTTTTAAGTGCTAATACAAATCACACAATAGAAATCTATTAAATGCAATTGATTAGATCAGAGAAGGCACAGATAAGGGGAGTTAAGAGCTTTGAACCAACATGATGAGTAGCTTCCAAAAATTCATGGAAAAAAATGAAAAGATATTGGAACTGTCCCATAAACATTTTGAAGTGCCCTTATATTTTTCCGTTTTAATGGCAACGTATGCTAAGAATTTTAAAAAATTAAAAATGTACACGAGCAATTTTTAAACATGTATAATATAGATTTACCTTCTTTGATGGGATTTAATAAAGCAAAGATTTCTCTGTATACATTAACAGTATATTTTCTAGATAATAAATTCAAAGTTACAAGCACAAGGTGTTTTGTTGGCACAATAGGTAATGCACTGGACTGCTAACTGCAAGGCCAGCAGTTTGAAACCACTAGCTGCTCCATGGGGGGGGCGGGGGGGGGGGTGGTAATAAGGCTTTTCACTCAGGTAAAGATTTGCAGTCTCAGAAATTCAGAGGGATAGTTCTACACTGACCTTCCCACAGAAACGCTGTGAATTAGAATCGACTCGATGCCAGTGTGGGGAGTTAAAGTTGCAAACATCCCTAACACAGGCGTAACACATGAACAGGATCCTAAAGAGGTAAAGTGTATTTTTTTAAAAAATATCTTAAAGCATGATAGATATGTATTGAACAGCTATTAATTGCTAGATTGTTCTAGGTATTGCATATGCAGATATTGTCAGGAAGGCACAGACACAATATTTAACCAATAAGTTCGTTATTTATAGAATCTAGTTATATATGGATGTGGTATTAAAAAAATTTTTTAATGATAAGGAGAGGGTGGCTATTAGTGTACACCACTTTTCTTCTACCCAAATACACATGAAGAATATACCTTACTCTCATCAATAATTATGACTCAATTATGATAATAGCTTGAGTGATTAGTAGGATATGAGGATAAATCAAAAAGCATTGCTACAAGAAAATAGATACACTTTTATTTAAAGTTTTCCACTCCCGTAAATATCTTCAGTCTTCGAAAGTAACAGGGACAGTTCTACTGTGTCCTAGTACAGGTTCGCTATCAGTTGGAAATCACAAAATGTGAGGCTATTGTTTCTCAACATGTACACCCTTAGGTCTACATTCTTCTGAAGATGTTGTTTCCCTCTCACGCTTCCACCCAGATTTCTGTGCTCTTGAGTTTACACGATGTCAAGATGGAGGTTTTAGCATCCTCGAAGGGCTCAAATTATGTCCTCTGAAGGTTCTTTGAGCTTAGAAACAAAAAGAAGGCACACGTGGCAAGATCTGGGTTGGAGAGCAGAGGAGAACTGTGTCCCAGTACAAACTCCGCAGGACAGCTTTTGCTATCCTCTAAGAATGAGCAGGCTCACTGTTGTGAAGGGAAAAATTAATTTCTTAGTCCAATTTTCCTGGTCTTCTCACCAATCCAGGTTTCAATTTTCACCCTACGCAGTGCATCTGAGAGAACTTGTCTGCAGTCATCTGCGGATTGCGGCGATATGCTTACACATGGTTTGTTTGCAATGAGCCCACACATGCATGAACCAGAACCCTAAAATCACCTTTGACTTCTTCTCCTCTGACTCTGTAACTTCACTGTCTCATGTATAAAATGAAAACAAAATTTAAAATACTAATAAGGAAATATACATTCTATGTAAACTGCATGCATACAGAATTATTTATATTCCATAAAAAAAGATTTCTAGCACCTAAGTCATACACGTTTAACAATAAAATCTACTCCAATGTTTTGTAAATTATCTTAGCAATAGTAGTTAAGTTTTTTTGGCTACTGAATGATGCTTTTCACAAACACATTCAGTGGCGAAATTACTCATAAAAATATAGAATTATCATGTTTCAAATAAACATATGGATAGCATGCCGCCATAGAAGGTACAGTTACTGGTCTCTGTTTGTCTAGCTCAAAATTGCTGAAAAATCTAAGAAGTAGAGAAGGAAGGGCAGAGAAGCGTGTTTTTCAAAGATTTGTTGAGACTAGACCGAGTGAGTATACCCAACTACCACTACTAAACACTCCAATCAAGGTCACAAGTGTTTGACCTTTATGGGAAAGAAAGTATAGAACAGAAATGTTCAATACTCAAAGAAGTCACACTTGTTGGAGCCACTGAGACTGAAGGAATCCCTGAGTCTGCTGCTTGAAATGCTCTTCCACCCTTAACTGGAAATGTCCCTTGAGATCACCTTTTGCCTAATTTCAAAACTCCCAAAACAAACACACTGCCATCTGGTTGATTCAGACTCTTAGCAAACCTACAGGGCAGAATAGAATGGACCCTGCGAGTTTCCAAGGGACCAGAACGGCTCATCTTTCTATGCAAAAGAGCTAGTAGTTTTGAGCTGCTGACCTTGTGGTCAGCAATCCAACATTAAGCCATCAGGACTCCTCAGCTAAAGAGTACTGAATTTCACCCTTGAGAAAGACACTCTTTTAAAAAGTATCCATGAGACTAACTGAATAACAGTTACTCTAAAGGATGGGTGAGGCGTTCGGAGTACAGTGAGAGTAAACTGAAGGGAGTGGAGCAAGTTGAACAGAAAAAAATGAACATGGTGGCACAACTGAGGGATGTACCCAAGATGACTGCAGAAATTGTTGAATAACAACATGGTTTTCTGTGCATGCCTTCAGAAAAAGTATATGTAATAAAATCCTAATAGTAAAAAATAAAGACAGGAAAATATGGGCAGACATTACATATTATGACATACTACCAGCTAGGCTAACAACTTTTATATTAAGAGTTTATAAAATAATTGGCACAAAGAAATAACGCTAAATCTGCAGTCCACTGGGATATACAATAAATCATTTTATTGGGGCTCTTACAGCTCTTATAACAACCCACACATCAAGTGTATCAAACACATTTGCACATATATTGCCATTAAGATATCTATAGGTATTCTGCCATCTGAATTAATATTTACGAAAAAAAATTAAATTGCTGTTTTGTGTATTTTGACTCATGACTGTCCATGTTTTCCATAGAATTCATAGGGTTTCAATGACTTTCTGGAAGTAGGTTGTATAGGTCTTACACATATAAATTTATATATATAAATTGTGCGGACCTTATATATATAAATTTTTTTAGTTGCAAATTAGGTGGATGCTTATATTTCATCTCCTCAACTTGGTATTCAATAATTTGAACTACTGATCACATGCTTGTCCCCAATAATTTACCCTTCACCAGCTCCTTAGTTTCCCTTCCCTCTTGTGGACTACCATCTTCCACTGCACACAAGAAGTGGGGAGAGGGGCGGAGAGAGGGAGATAAAGAGTTTCCTACTCAAGGGAACAAACTCCAGAGAATGCCAACATAGGGATGGCAAGGGAGGGAAGACAAGGCATGGCCTAGAAGGTTGATGAGTAACCTTTCTTTGGCGGTATCTCGGGGTAGATTTGAACCCTTCATTAGCTAGCCAAGCATTGAACAGTTTGTATCACCAAACAACAACAGCTCCAAATCTGACTCAGAGTGACCCTGGAAGAGACAGGCTGCAGTTCTCCATGGGAGCAGACAGCCTCATCTTTTTCGCTGTTAGGCTGGGTGGACTAGAGAAAAAAATCCGGGGACACTCATAAATTTGTAAGAAAGAGGTTTATATCAAACAGTCATTGTATATTAAGAAAACAGCCCTGGCTAGTCCAGAGCAAGTCCTTAAGTCTAATACTAGTCCATAAATCCCTCCTCATCCTCATGAAGCCACATGCAGTGATGCAGAACGATCATAGTCTTGTGAATCCCAGGGCGGTGGACTCACCTCCAGTGCTCTCCCATGTCTCAGCCTGGCTCTCCCTCATGAAACTGAAGGCAGGGGCAAGGGGGTGGCGGTGGGGTGGGGGTCAGGTTCCCAGGGCCCTCCTTATGAGGAGTTCATGCCAACAAGGAGGCGCCAACAGGCTGTGGCCTGATTGACAGGCTAGACTCCACCCCGACACTTCAAGTTGACATGAAATTATGTAACTCCCACAATGACCAACCTTTCAGTTGCTACCCAAGCCATTACCTAGATATTGTGAAATCTTACCTATTAAAATCCTATACAGCATTGCCGTGAGCAATTAAGAAGTAAAAGATGAGAGGAAGATG